AACAACGATGGGACAAGTGTGCTCAAGGCGAGGGGGTGACTTCACGGGATCCATTGCTGTGTGTCCTTTGATAAGTTCTTGATTTAAACACCCACCATACATTTTGATTGCGTCTCATAAATGTGGTTGATGGTTTTGAATGGTGTACACCTTTACAACGTGACTTTAATCCTCATTATTTTAAGAAAAATAAAGATCTTTCTCCTCCTCACCTGGAAAATGTTCTGATAAATAAAACGCTGCCCTAGAAACGACACTGTAACTTCTCAGTGTAGGTCTTAAAAGGCTCTGCACCTTCTGTTTTACCTGTACAGAAATGTGGCCTTCTTGAACCCGCCGGGCCCAGCTGAGGCACGAGGTACCTAAAGCCCCGTGAATGAGCCCAGGTCACACGGGGCTCTCACATCTCCAGAACCTTTGGAAATTACAGATCGCTGTGCTCTGAGCACTAAGGGGCTGGGAATGATCTGCGACAGCAGCAGCAGTTCGCTGAGACCAGGAAGACCAGGTTTTGGCCTAGCGTCTCCTCGCTTCATCTTTCTTCTAGGCAACGTGCAGGTGCAGTCTCTCAGAGAGGCTTAGGAAGAGGCAGGAGCAGGGTGATGAGCCTGCAAAGAGCGGCAGACACTGACACATGTCCATCCGGCCCTGTGGCCAACGCGAGGCCGGCGTCCCCTCAGGGAGGCTCAGGGGCAAGCGCTTCCAGAGCCTTTCCAAATTCTAAGATTCCACCATGTGAAAGGAGAAAGCATGTAGAGGAAAGCCAGCTAGTTGGGAAACACGTACTCTTAGCAGGGGAAAATCTAGTGTCACAGATGAAAGGCGAATCTGAACAGCTAAAGATAAAGCAGAATGCGAGCTGGGACTTAGCTCAGTGGTGTAAGTGCCTGCCTGGCAAGCGCGAGGTCCTGAATTTGATTCCTGGTGTCTAAATAAATAAATAAAGCAGACTAAGAAGCAGATTGTGGAGACAGGAGAATGAACACTGAACACTGATGAGGAGAAAGTAGAGCTCCACAGAACACAGATGACGCCTCCCCGTGGAAGGAGAGATCACATTTGCTCTCTAGGGCAGTGGAAATCACGCTTGTCTTACGATCCAGGACAAGTGCCGAGGTGTGTGTCTCGGTACGTGGGAGAATGGAGTAGCTTGGATTAAGACAGCTCAGCTGGAGGCTGGGAGCCTCAGTGAGGCAGGGAGGCAGCCCACGGACAGCTGGCTGGGAGCAGAAGTGCCACAGGGCACGCACACCCCAGGGCCCAGGGGCCAGATGAGGCCTGTGGCCCCAGCTCGTGGAGCTCCGCGGGTTCCTCAGAGTGCGGACTAAATACGGGGGCCCGAAGCCACCGAAAGGGTACTAGCACGGCTTGCCTCACAGCACCTAGCTTGGGTCCCCAGGGTGTACCTTTCTTTTACTTTGTTTCTAATTTTTCCCTCTTGTACTCTGACCAGGAGCCAGTTTCTGCCTTACCACTTTTCAAATAAACACTGTCCCTGTTTTTGCTGGTTTAGTTCAATTTATGGTTAGAGAAAGATAGAATCTGGAAACCAAGACCTGTCACCCCCAAATCGGGTACCATTTGTTGGGTGACCCAGCTTTTGAAGGTCACTACCCAGTGAAGACTCAAGAAAAACACAAGCACATGGAGTGTGGAATCCCAGGCCTCTCTGGCATCCCAGTCCCATGATCTCGCTCTACAATTTTTTTCATAGGACTGATAACATTCTGGCATATAACACACCTAGATTTTAAGCTTATCATTTACTTTGTGTTCCTCTCTCCCCAGTAAAACAGAAACCTCACAATAGCAGAAATTTGTGTTGAGTTTGTTTACACACAGTTTCTGGGAACATATAACAATTCTAGGTACAAAATAGACATTTAATAAATATTTATTCAATGAAAGACTGTCTCAAATACTCTAAGGCTCTGAAGACAGACCTGGAAATTTTAGGCTCATATGACCAGATAGAGGTCTGCACTGTGCAATCTCTTTTCATTTCAGATGCTGGAGACTGCCCAGCAGGGACACCACGCATGCCTTTGGACGATGTAGAGGTGTGTCCTGGGAGTGAGGTGCTCAAGCTAGAGAGCCGCCAAGCGAGGGACCGCCTGCAGGTAGGACGGCTTCTGGCCCATACCCTGGGCTCGTCACGTGTTTGCTATGTAAAATCTGGCAAAATTCATCCTCTGCCTCCAGTTTTCTGCCTAGAAAATAGCAATAATGGTGACAATATTTGCCCAAACTCACTGGATCAATATGACAAGCTAGGGCTGGGGAGATAGCTCAGTAGAATAAGCACTTGCCTG